TAAATTTATCTTGAGACTTGTTAATCTTGGGATCATTTTCTACAGCTTCTCTAGTGGCCTGTATACCCTTCTCGTGGTCGATCATCGTATATATAACGAAGCAACGTCTACTGTGGCCCATATGCAGTTATTATTGCAGATTGTGCCTTCAACTTCAGATATTATTTGGGCCAAATCTTTAATATAAGAAGGGGCCTGAATGACATACTGTTGTAGATAAAAAAAAAATCTATATATTCAGAGACGTTGCTTGTTAAAGAACTGATACCCCTGATGATTGGCCTACCGGGAGGGTTTACCCCTCCATTGGAGAGGAGGTGATACAGAAAAAGCACTAGCAATGAAAGAGACAGAATGGATCCATAGACTAAAAACCTCCACAAGGGGGCGTGGCCTGACCACGGATGGAGTGAGACGCACGGTGCCTGTGCTCCTAGGCCTCACCCTGTATGGCCCGTAATAAATAGCATCCAGACCTGTTCAAATCCTGCTAATATGGGGAAAACTAAGCGAGCTCTAAGTTCTGGGCAGCCCGGGGGGGCTCTGCTACGGTCACAGACCGGCCCCATTGGATGAATACCTTGCTGGGCCGCAGGGCCTGTCAGACGCCATTGATACGCCGATTCCCGCCTCACCCGGCTCAAGTAGTGCTGGCTCATCCTGTGGCACCAGTGAGCCGGCGGCCCTATCCCAAATCTCGCTAGATATAGCCGCCATCTCTTCCAGCATGCTCACCAGGCGAGATAAATCTGAAATGGTGGCCGAGCTGCGGGCGGTGATCAGGGAGGAGATTGCCGCTGTGCGTGCAGATCTCACCGCCCTGGAGCACCGCGTGGATGCCCTAGATGCTGAGCGCCTTCAGAACACCCATCGGCAGCAAGCTGCGGACCTGGCGACCACCAGGCAGGGGAACCTGCTCCTAGACCTCCGCCGGCAGGTCGAAGACCTCGACAATAGGGGCCGGCGGAACAACATTAGGATTCGGGGGTTACCGGAGGCTGAAGGGGAGCTGCCCCACGAGCTACTCACCGGCCTGTTCTCGCACCTGCTGGGGGAGGCGGCGTCAGATGACTTTGGTATTGAGTGGGCGCATAGGGCTCTGCGGGCGCCCCGGCGTGATGGGGTGTCGAGGGACTTGATTTGCGCCCTGGCGTCCTTCCCGCTCAAGGAAGAGCTGATGAAGGCCGCGCGTTCCCACCCTGATCTTCGCTACATGGATGCCCCGGTGGCCCTGTACCACGATCTGTCGCAGACCACCCTGGATACCGGCGGGCCTTGCGGCCGCTGACCCGCTTGCTCCAAGAAAGAAGAATCCCATACAAGTGGGGCTTCCCCTTTAGCCTGCAGGCCCGGGTGGGCAACATGTGGCATGTGCTCCAGTGGCCCAATGATGTCCCCCGGTTTCTCCGGAATGCTGGCCTCCCTCATATCGCCATCCCGAATTGGATCCTGGGGGGGCCCCCGGCTCGGGCTGTGGGCCCCGAGGAGGCTGCACATAACCTTCATTCGGAACCTGAGCTACCACGACGCAGAGGTGGGCCGGATGGCCCAGAAGAGTAGCGGCTACCTGTTGAGCCCTGGTGGCGGTCTCCCGGGGGCTGCCGGATCGGTCAGGACTCCCATCGGACCTCAGCCTCTAAGTGGTGGGACTTTTGGCTGCCCGGTCGTGAAGCTGGGGCCTCCCTGACCAGGGTATGTACTGTGGTGGACAGCTCTATAAAGAAGTTAGCTGCCTGGCTGAGGGCTTGCAGTTAGGTGGGGTGGAAAGGGTTCCAGGGGTTTGGAGGTTGTAGCGGCCAGATTCCGGGTAGGCTCCACCGCAGGTGGGGAGGGTCGGGGGGCATGTGCCGGACTGGGCTATGGGGCTGGTGGGGACTGGCTGATGATGATGGCTCTGGGGGTCAAATTGGTATTCTTCCCCTCCCTTCCCCCCCCCTTTTTTTTTTTCTTCTTCTTCTCCTCCTCTCTTTATGCCTGCCTGTAGTGGGGGGGACCCGGGTGGGTGCTAGGGTGTGCATTGCCTAGCTGTGCTGCCGGGTTGGGGGACTGGGGAGGTGGTGGCGCCACCCTCTGGCGGTTCTCATTTCAGTTCTTTGCACGCTGGGGTCAACCACGGTGGCTGCTCCCGTTGAGTCAGGGGTATTTTACACTGGGAGTGAGGGGGGGTTGTGGAGCTGGTGCGGGGCAGGCTGCTGCGAGGTGGGGGTGGCTGCCGGGGTTTAGACGGGGAGGAGAGGGAACGAGGGAGGGGGATGTGTCTCGTAGTCCTCGCGGGAGGGGGGTGAGAGAGACCCGCACCATGGCAGACCCTAGATCAAACAGCTGGACGCGGGCTGATGCTAGCTCCGGAGTTTCAGTCACACACGAAGGGGGGCCCCACCTCGCCCGCAGGATGGCTCCAGGCATGAAATAGGCATCCTACCCTTGTGCTGTCACCAAGTCACCGGTTGGGTATGAGTGCGCTCCCTGGGGGCCCGGGGTAGTGAGGAGATATTCAGAGAGGGGCAGGGGGCTAGAGTGGGGAGACCTTTTAGCTCAACTTATTACTGTCAAGGGGGGGAGGGGCGGGGACCCGAGACAGGTTGGTTGCCCACGTTGGGTGCGGGTGGGAGTCGGGTGGGGGGCTCACGCAGGCCGGCCCCATGAGGGTTGTTAGGGGGGCAGTTCACATGGTTTCCCCTAGTTATTTGTGTTTTAGCATCTGGATACTCGCACGTATGACACACAGGGTGACGGCAGACAGACACTGGGGCAGTTACGACCACTACATTCTACGGAAACGCCAAGACAGTAATATCCCGAGGGGAGGAATATACTCTCCCGGCTCAGGGTCGACGTTGCCCACAGAGGGCGGTGAGACTAAGTCCTACTGATACCTGCACCGGACTTCCCACATTTTCCCTCGCCCACACTTCCAACTGTGCCGGGGCGGGGTCGCTCCACCGATGGCGCCCGGTCTGGCTTCGTTCCGGCGCGGCTGACTTATTGGTCTAACAACGTTCATGGGCTTAACATGCCCGAAAAACGATCACAGTTGCTACGGCAGCTCTGGGCTGCAAAAGCATCCGTGGCGTTCCTGCAAGAGACGCACTTCAAAGGGGGAGATGCGCCTAAACTGGAGAATCGGCGATTCCCGTTGGGATTTTACGCTAATCACCAAACCACCAAAAAAGCGGGGGTGGCTATACTCTTTGCCCAGACGACGCCTTTCCTCCATTTGGCGTCCCAACTGGATCCGATGGGGAGATACCTATTCTTAAAGGGCACCATAGCGGATCGTGCGTATACCTTAGCTTGCTTATACTGCCCAAATAGGGGTCAGCACACCTTCTTCTCCCGAACACTGGCCAAACTAGAGAGATTCCGAGAGGGCCTTCTGGTCCTTGGCGGCGACCTCAATGTCCCGCTGGACCCCCGGCTGGATACTTCCAGTGGAATGACCGCGGTCTCGGCTACTAGTATCCGGCTGTCCTAGCGTGCACTGCACAAAATTGGATTGGTAGATTGTTGGAGGGCCTGCAATCCGGAGGGGAGAGACTATACCCATTACTCTGCAGCGCACGCACAATACAGCCGTATCGACTATATCTTTCTGGCACAAGAATTTTTAAACCTCCTGCAGGGAGCGGAAATAGGCATCATAAGCCACTCGGATCATGCACCGGTCCTGGTTCATACCAGTTCCCCGCTTTTTAAGCCCAGTGAACGACAATGGAAGCTCAATGAAACTATGCTGGATGACTTGGCACTCACGCAGTCCGCAACCCGTGCCCTGACCGATTACTTTACCACCAACGATAACGCTGATACGACACCTCTAGGGCTTTGGGAGGCGCACAAATGCGTCATCCGGGGCTTCTTCATCTCTGGGAGCACCAGACGAAAAAGGACAGACGAGCTCACATTTCCAGCCTGACCACGCGCATCGCAGACTTAGAAGGAACTCATAAGCAATCCCTAGATGAGGGCACTTACCTCCAACTGGTTGAGACACGTAGGGACTTGCAAAAGCTTTTGTCGCAGGGGCTGCTGCTCACCGCGAGGAAGGCCTCTAGGTACTTCTACGAACACTCCAATAAGTGCGGGAGGCTGTTAGCTCGGATGCTCCGTGAAAAGCGCAGGATGCAACATGTCCATAAAATACACACGGGGAGGGGGGATACCACACGCCTCCCAAATGGCATTCTGTCTGCGTTCCAGGACTATGCGGCACTTTACGACCAAACGCAGCACCGCACAGCATCAGAGGTACGGCTACACAAGGAGAGGATAGAGGAGTACCTACAAACCCATGTTACACGCAGACTCACCCCGGAGCAGGAGGCTGAACTGGATGTTCCTTTGTCGGTGGAGGAACTCGCTGCAGCCTTGAAGGCCACCAAGGCTCACAGGGCTCCGGGGCCGGACGGTTTACCAGCCTCTTATTTACGGACATTCAAGGATATCCTCCTACCCCGCCTGGTCGCAGGGCTGAACTCCTTGCGGGAGGAAGGCCGCTTTCACGAAGATACACTGAGGGCAACGGTTACGATTCTCCCAAAGGAGGGCAAAGACCCCATGGACTGTGCCAGTTACAGACCAATTTCATTGCTCAATGCGGACCTTAAAGTGTTTGCTAAAGCACTGGCACTCCAGATGGCCAGGACTCTGCCGGAGCTCGTACATCCGGATCAGGTCGGTTTCATACCCGGCCGCGAGGCCCGGGATGATACCATACGGGCCCTCAACTCTATCCACGTACCCAAACCAATGGGAAGGAGATGGTTCTCCTTTCCACTGACGCCGAGAAGGCTTTCGATAGAGTTGACTGGACTTACCTGCAGGAGACCTTGGGGTGCATGGGGTTTGGACCAGGTCTAAGGGCCTGGGTTGCGGCGCTGTACACGAAACCGACGGCGCGCATACGGGTGAACGGAGCACTCACGGGTGTGTTCCGGATTTCCAACAGCACGCGCCATGGCTGTCCGCTGTCCCCCCTCCTGTTTGCCCTCACCCTGGAGCCCTTCCTGGAGGTGGTGAGACGGGACGGGGGCATAGCGGGGTGCCTGGTAGGGGGGGAGGAGCATCGGGTGGCGGCACACGCCGATGACATGCTCTTCCTCCTCGAACAGCCAAGAATCTCGCTACCGAACCTACTAGAGGCCTTCCGACTTTATGGCGTAGTTTCTAACCTGAAGCTCAACCTGGCCAAGTCGGAACTGATGCCCCTCACACGTGATCCGGCCCTTCATAGACACATCCAGGCACACTTCCCCTTCCGGATTTGCTTGACTAAATTGCGGTACCAGGGCATCTGGCTACCGTGTGACCTAGCTCAAGCTTATTCCATGAATTATGTCCCCTTACTCACAGCCCTACAACAAGATATGAAGCGCTGGGCACCCCAATATATATCCTGGTTCGGACGCATAAATGCCATTAAAATGAATGTTATGCCCCGTATATTGTACCTGTTCCAGACGATCCCGGTCATTGTCCCACGGAACTTCTTCCAAACGTTGTCGTCCGCCTTTAAGCAGTTCGTATGGAACCAGAGACCCGCTCGCATTCGGCAATCGATCCTGGAACGCCCTAGAAGTGAGGGAGGCATGGGCTTGCCTTCAGTCCTTACTTATTACCGAGCTACACACTTGTCTCGTTTAGTGGATTGGCATGCAGCCCCTAGCGGGAAACGGTGGGTAGACATGGAAAAGGAACAGGCGGGGGGAGGTAAAATACCGTCCCAGCTGTAGCTGGGAGATGCCACGTTTCAGGAACTGCGAACGGGCAACCCGTTGGTGGATGCAACTCTGAAGGTCTGGTGTGGCATCCGGTACTCTCAACAACTCACGTCCTCGCCGAATCCACTTATGCCCGTGACGCATAACCCAAGACTTGCAGGTGGACTCTCCCCGGGTGATCTGAGGAACTTTGGGGCCACGGACTGGACCTACCTACATCAATGGTGCAATGGTCCGAGCCTTAAATCGCTGGCCGCACTACTCCAAGACCGCGGACCCAGCGTTCTGGACAATTTCCGGTACTATCAGCTTACAACCTATGTAACCTCGCTAGCTGGGAAGGCGCACCTCCACCGCCCACTGTCCCACTTCGAACAACTCTGTGTCGCCAGACAGCATCTCATCCATGGCATATCGCAACTATACTCCATGCTGCAGAGTGGTGGGGACCAGTCCCCCTTAGGGTTCACGATACGGTGGGAAATGGAAGCAGGGGTCGAGCTATCTACTTCAGATTGGCAAAAGATCTTCCAATTGACGCACAGAGGGACCATCTGTTCCAAATTCCAGGAATGCAACTACAAGATACTGTCGAGTTGGTATAGAACTCCGGACATCCTTCGTCATGTCCATGAGTCCATCTCAGGGGAGTGCTGGAGGTGTGGAAACGCGGATGGTACTGGGATCCATATCTGGTGGTCGTGCCCTCGCATTGAACCTTTTTGGAGAACGATACACAAAGGGATTAAAGACGTTACTGGGACGGACATCCCTTTCCAGCCGCTGCCAATGCTACTGAACCACACGAGCATGCCAATCACCGCCTACAAAAGGGGTCTGATGATACACCTTCTTACGGCAGCAAAATCTCTCATCCCCATGTTGTGGAGAAGCCAGGTAGCCCCTTCACTCCGCCAATGGATAGATAGGGTAGAAATGATTTACAACATGGAATTGATGACTGCGTCTCTGCAGGGACGCTTGGATAAATGTGCTCTCACATGGTTTCCATGGACGGAGTATACAGCCAGGGGGGCCGCGGGGGGCGCCCGGACCGGGGAGGGTGGGGCGCCCGCACCGGCACGGCTTTCCCCACCCACGACGAACTGACTGAGATCCGCAGTACCTATCTGCGGGGAGGGGGGCGCACTTCCCTATCCATATGACTACGACTTCCCTTCCCATTCCACTCCACACTTCCCAGACGGACGACACACGGAGGCGTTTACCCGAGAGTAGGCTCTCAAGTTCACTCACCCACTAACCTAGCATTCAGAGCGTTTGGGGAATGGGGCGTGGAGCACAGAGCAATGAATGGAACTAGTCCACGGCGGAGCAGGGGGATAGCGGGTTGGTGGGGCTCTTGAACATCTTAGGAGTGGGTAGGTGGTGTACAGGTCGGGGGGGATTAGACCAGAGGGCGGGAGGTTAACAATGCTTCCGGGTTGTCTGGGGGGAGGTCCTCTGGCGCTTTCAGTTCCACGCGCTTGGTTCGCCCCGGGCCTCAGATTCAATAAATACAGTGGCACCCGATTTGATCCCTAGGGGGCTCCAGCAACTTACGTCAGGGGAGGAGAGGGGGGACGGAGGCGTCGGAGGGCACCCTACAGCTGGCTGACTTCTCACACGAACCACTGCACCAGCGTTGAGGGTCAGTGGTTACCAACATGACTTTGGGCCATGGGCTAACCCACTAGGGGGCCGCCTAGAATACGGTGGTAGAGGCTACGTGCAGTTTAGAATTCCCGTTCACGAGGTAGCATGGAAAGCCGCACTCCCCATGCCCCGCTCTTCGCATGTGTCCGAGTGTCCCGGGATTGCGGCCTTGGTTGTCGCTCAGATGCTTCTGCGCTGTCTAAGTTCTAGCTCTATTCTTTCGCTAAGACACCATCAAATATCCAGCTGTATTGGCGGCTTATGTGGAATATAGTGTTCTTTCTTCCTTGCCTATGTAAAGGTTGCTAAACATGTTTGAACTTGTGTGTTGTACTAAACGCGCTGTATTAAATAAATGGAAAAATAAAGATTGTCAAAAACAAAACAAAAAAAAACCTCCACAATTATGGGTCTGATTTGGATATACTATTTTTGAATGGATTGGTTTTACTATTTTATTATTATATGGGATCCTTTATACTTATTTGTCCATACATCGTAAAAAGTTCAAATTTTATGGTTGATCTTGTACAACGGTCCAGTTAACATATTTTACTCTATTCCCCCATTTTGTCTACCTTCTGGGGGAAGAGTATAACCATCTACTCATCATGACGAGCATCTTATTAAATGTGATATCTTTTCCATGAATTCTTAATGAATGGTATTTTTGGTTGTTTTCCACCTCATTTTATACTTTTATCTGTATTCCTAATAATATTATTTTAATTTATTTTCTTCACATCTTAACTATGTTGAACACATTTATTTAATATGTATTTATTTATCTTCTTGACCCACACAAATTATTTTTTTACACAAAGCCCCTTGGTCGTGACTCCTGGGGGCTAAAGGATACCTTCGTTGATTCGTAGTGGTAGTGAGGTCTCTGGACTGTCATCTAGCTGGCTCTATGCATTTTGTCCCACGATATTCAAGACTTCCTCAGGAGCTGGAGATCTCCATTTCCTGAAGAAGTCCAGAATATCGCAGGACGAAACACGTGGACCTCACTACCACCATAAAATCAACTACGGTATCCCTTAGCCCCCAGGAGTCGTGACCAAGGGGCTTTGTGAGAACCTATTTCCATCTTTCAGTGGTTGGTGCCGAACATTTGTATCCCGGTCTCATAATTGTACTGTTTTAATAGATTTTTTAATTTTTTACTGACATTGTTTTTACTTAAAAGTTATTTGTTTTCCAGGGTGGATGCATGCACATGAGCGATGGGGAATTGAGACACGTTGGCGCCAGACGGTGCATTCTCCCCCATTCTGCACATGCGCACGTAATAGAAAGCTGCGCGAAACACAGCATTTAAACACTGAAACAGGGAAAGAAGATACAGCTCATGAAAAAGTCTAAGGGTGAAATGCGTTGAGCTTGCACACGTACCTCCAGTAAAGATTTGAGACTGAAGCAGTTAACTGCAGGACCACGACGATTGTATCAATCCTACCAACAAGTGTATTCTTGGACTGCTACACATTGGTCTACTGGTATCCTGAGGGACCATCGGCAGACTCTCACTAGGGGGACCTAGCCCATTGGTGGCTAAAACGCTTTCTTGCACACTAAGATATATTTATTTTTGTGTCACTTCTCTCGTGAGTGTGTTTCCATTGTTTTGATTTTAATATTGTTATCATTAAATACTTCACTATATTTGCTGTCTTATACTTTTTTACATGTTATCATCTGAAACCTCAGTGGTAACTATATTCACGCATTTGTGACAATGGCACCTTACTTTGTATATCTTTTGAACTATACTACACTAGGTCTTCAAAATTGCTTCAGTAGTTGAACCTGGTTGACTTGCTAAGCTAGGTTACTCAGCTGCTTATTTGCAAGATTTTCTGAAAATTGGTCAACAGCTTTGCTAGTTCTATACAGGCTTCTTTAGTCGGCTTATGAACTGCTTTCTGTAGTTTTCAATATTTAAGGCATATTTATCCAGGAGCACTGGTGTTTTTATTCTGCGATAATCCTTCTTAAAGTGCAAAAATCTCACGGTGGTACTTTCTAGAGAATAAAATTCAAAATGCACTCTGTGCTAGCCAAACCACTGTCAAATTCATGGATTATGTATTATTCACAGATATCCTTTGGACTTGTTAGTATTTACTTCTATGCCATCAGAATGTAGTTAAAAAGTTCTAAATATTGTTTTGTACATAGCTGCGTGACAAAAGCAACATACCATAATCTCTAGTATGCTGCTACATCTTTGGCATAGTGAGATGTCACCAGAGAGTGTGGAACCAGGAGAATGTCTCTCTATGTGGTATGTATTTCCTAAATGAAGTTGTTATGGTCCAAGGAGGCCCCTGGAGGCACTCACTTCTCAAGGGGTTAAACCATTCTTGAACGGTTTAACCTCAAACTTGCCTCCAGCGGTGATCTCCTCTCATACCCTTACAGCATTCAGCTACCTTTCTCAAGTATGTTTAGCGAATGAGGAGTCCCTGATTTGATTAGAGTGTCAGCTGACTACTCTCAGCCAATCAGTGGCACCCTTGCTCGCAGGACACCGCGCCTCCTGAAGCCACCAGGGGAGGAGTGGACATTGCTGCTAGAGGCAACTTTGGGTTTAAACCATTCGAGAACTGTTTAACCCTTTGAGGAAAGAATGCCTCAAGGGGCCTCCTGGCACCATAACAGCTTAATTTAGATTAAGTTGTGTCTAAAGTTTTAGGAGTGCCCGGAGTGTCTTTAATTCATCAGGATATATGCAATTTCACAGTCACCTCATGGCATATGTCCACTCAATGACGGACATCCCTTAGTACTCCTAGATATCGATCCCAGCATGTGGCATCCTATGCTCTGCTGTGGATTAGGTTTCAATATCCAAGATTAGTAGATGACTCTTTGAATCCAAACTAGGGGCATTGTTAGCTTGCAGGAACATATTGTGATTGAGCCCAAAGGAAAAGGTAATGACCTCTATACTAACAGAGATGTGGTGATAAATCATACACCACCATGTTCTGTCATGGCTTCGAAATTGGCTATTATCTTTCTTTCTCCTCTGTATGCTACGGAACAGAAATACTCTGCAGTATGCAATGTACAGAGGTCTACTCTCAACTTCATTGTCTGCATTATTTCCCTATCAACCTTCATAACAAAGGTTCCTGTGAGCCTCATTGTTATAAAGACTATAATCACTTTGATATATGGGGATTCTCCAATTGTTTTTGAACATACGGCTAGAAGTGGAGTCATGTTATGGTTGAATAAAATTATAATATTAAAAATAATTTATTTAAAACAATTGATAAACATCCACCAAGGAAGAAAAGGAAGCAACAGAGTGTAACATGGTTCACCATGCTAGCACATGGCATCTGCACATCTGCTCTGCAGCACAGCCAAGAAGGAACAGAGAGGAATGGAGAAAGGGGGGAGTGGTTATCTCTTTCCTGACTTGTAAAGGTATTGAATTACCCAGTTACCATTTCAAAAGGTAAAGCTTATCCCACTGTACATGAGCTTGGTCACATGATCCCTGGTTACCATATTAGTTTGATGACAGAATGTCACCACAGTGGTGAGTGCTGAAAGTTAGTCTAATGAGAAGCACTATGTCAGTCAATATTAGACGCGAGAGGATTAAATGTAATTGTACGGATTAGGAAGCATTCTTTAAGCTTGCGACTGTAATTACTCATAAAAAAAAAAAATCGGACTTATAAAAGAGGAATGAATAAGTAAGCAGGGATTGAGGAACTTGAAGTTCTAGACAGGAAAATGTTTTCTTTAAGATACTGACAATACATTTTTCATGTTTTGCATTGTAAGAAACCGAGATACTGTGTTTTGTCTGTAAGCATTATTGATGGAGAGGGGAGTTTGGTGCACAATTCAACAGCAGACAAGACTGAGTGGTTTTCTGTATACAAGTTAAGTTGTTTGTCAGGCAGGTTATTAATGGTTCTGTAGATATGAAAATGCCTCCAAGTTTCTTTACTGTCACTTTAGTGAGGCACTGCCACTTTGACTGCATTTTGAAAAGAAATTAAAGCCGTACAAAACATGACAACATATTTTATCATGATACTTTGTTGAGAATTCTAAATTAATTTCAAATTTGAGGTAATCTGAATTAAGGAAAAACAGTCATAGTTAGATATGTTTTCAATTAAGCTATTTTGGCCTAAAACTTGAAATTCACTTTGAATTCACTCTTCACTATATATTAGTCTGACTTGGTGGACATCATTTAAATATACATTTAGCCTAATGAAGCGGTTTTTGCATATAGGTCATGCCCCTATAGCAGCGCAGCGATGGTGAACCTATGGCATGCGTGTCACAGCTGGCAAGCTAAGCCCTCTTCATGGGCACATGGTCATAGGTCGCCAGTAGGGTGCCCAGCGGTGCATTCACGCCGAGGCTAACAAGGCATTTGCTCTGGGCGGCACTGCCTTGTTAGCCTCGTTTCCTGGGGGACACAAAGCTGGTGGGCTGGCCACATTTGGGCACCCCCCCGAGCCAGATGGCAGCTTGATTTGTGGTCAGGCGGCGAGGGAGTGCTGTACTCTGAGCTATTACTGCTCAGCTCCCTCGCCCACCGCTTAGTGATGCCGGGAGCCGGAATATGACGTCAGACTGGCTCCCAGCATCACTAAACGGCGTGCGAGGGAGCTGAGCAGGTAGATCAGAGCTCCCTCGCCTCCTACTCTGCCAGTTCGCCCCTTACCTGCCAACCAGCAGCACAAGCAGCCCCACTGAACCCCAGGTGAGGAATCCACTCCAGTTCTCTCACGGAGGCTGGGTGGAGTTAAATAAAAAAAAAATTCAAAATAATAATAGTAATTTGTAAGTGTTGGGGGAAATGTGTATGAGTGTGTGTCTTTCAGTTAATATGTGTATATGTATGTCAGTGGTTGTGTCTGTGAGTGTGTGTATGTGTGTTTGTCAGTCACTCTGTGTATGTCTGTCAGTGAGTCTGTGTCTGTCAGTTAATGTGTGTGTATGTCTGTCAGTAAGTGTATGTGTCTGTGAGTGAGTGTGTGTCTGTAAGTGTGTACATCTATCAGTCAGTGTGTGTGTGTCTATCAGTGTGTGTGAGTGTGTCTGTGAGTGTCAGTGTATGTATGTGAGTGTATGTGTATCTGTGAGTGTGTGTGTGTCAGTGTGTGTATCTGTGAGTATCTGTGTGTCAGTGTGTATAATTGCCATGTTTAAAGGACCACTATAGAGCCAGGTAAACAAACTCGTTTTCCTGGCACTATAGTGTTAATAGGTCCCCCCCACCCTCATGGCCCCCCTCCCACCGGGCTGAAGTGGGAGGAATGGGTTAAAATCTTACCTTTCTCCAGCACCAGGCTCCTTCGGCGCTGGGGACTCTCCTCCTCCTTCCGATGTCATCGGCTGAATGCACATGCACGGCAAGAGCCGTGCACGCATTCAGTCAGTCCTCTGGCGTCTTCCCACTGTGAAAATCACAGTGAGAAGAGCGGAAGCGCCTCTAGCGGCTGTCAATGAGACAGCCACTGGAGGCTGGATTAACCCTATTGTAAACATAGCAGTTTCTCTGAAACTGCTATGTTTACAGCAGGCAGGGTTAATCCTAGATGGACCAGGCACCCAGACCACTTCATTGAACTGAAGTGGTCTGGGTGCCTATAGTGGTCCTTTAATTGCCGTGTTGGCACTTTGAGGAAAAAAAGTTGGTTTGTATTGCGGTTTGGGCACCTGGGCTCAAAAATGTTCGCCATCATTGCCCTATAGTCTCACTTTTAGCCATTTAGGAATTAAAGGGAAACTCCAGACCCTAAAGCAAGCTGAAGTGCTTTATGTGTGAACGTTGTGTCCTTGTTTTTTTAATTTCACAAAAGGTGCAAATTTCAATAGAATTTGGTACTTTTAAAATTGAATATCGTTATACCCACTTGGCTGTCAATGAGACAACTAGTACTGTTATTTGCTGGTTTGGTTAGCTCAGTGGAACTAAACTCAAGAGGCTGCAATTGCCCAGAGCACTTGCCTTGCAAAGACTTCTCAACATTGAGCTGCATAGGGAAGTCTGTGGATAGAAAGCCACAGAATGAAAAAATATCTAACTATGACATTTTTTTCCCTAGTCAA